GTACTAAGTACAAATAAGTCAACGGAAACTGATCATCGATATTCCTGGAAAAAGGTCCATATGGTTTATTGGATAAGTATTTATGATGTAATACACTATCTCACAGTCAATAATTACCTAAACAGTGAACAATCCCAATTCAGCGAAAAAAATTATGTAGTACATAAATCTAAGCAAATAATCGACTAAAATGTAGAAAACATATTTGATTCATTACGTTCTTTGACACTGATGAATAGTATTTCTGATGCTATCAGAACAAAATGGATGCCTGAAGTATGTTGGAGCCCGTATGGCCAGGTCGTAATTGGATGAGCGTAGTTTTATGATTTAGTCCAAGGACCGATTATTTCATCTAGATTGTCTATATAACGCTAATGCCCTTCTGCTAACTAATAACACGATACAGTAAGATAATAACCCAGATCCATACTTAACAATTATTGGTTCAGAATTTAGTTTCCATTCTCTCGCTTTCCCAATAGCTAAAACAGTATACGACACAGTAAGTAGATGGTTTCTAATAAAATAGTTCAACCATAGACTCAACTCATACACTAGCATAGAGTAAAATCTGGACCGTACACTTAAATAATGAAGAAAATTACTATATAGGCAATAACTACTCCATAAGTAGAAGAGAACTATGTCATAGGCCTGTAAATAATTAATAAAAAATTGAGAAATGTATAATACTGATACGTCTTGTTGGTTGAACGCTATATTCGGATCCTAAGCTAGTTTCGTAACTCCCAAGCTAGAACTACACAACGACTTGAACAAGAGAGAAAAGGCACAAAATATGAGGGAAGCACTTTACTCCAAGGTTCGTTTTTGTACAGAAAATATAGGGTTTTTATAATATTTTAAAAGTCCTTGAGTTTTCCTGAAAATTCTAGAATACAGCTAAACATAGTAGTAGTGTATTAATCAGCCAATCAGAATCTCTACATGTGACTTTTCATTTTTGCTATGTTACTAACATAACTTCTAAACAAGCGGTGATTGGATAAAATGCTCCTCAATGTTTCATGAGCTTGTCATGTCGATTACGAGAAATTTGCAGGATCATCCCAACAAATATTACAACAGTTGAATTAATCAGTCGACTATTAAAGTCACTACAATATCAACAAACTCCATTCTGATCATAATCATCATGTGCTCACTAGTGACTGACTTCAAGATGATTTCCTGGAGTTCTAGTGAGAAGCCGTGACAATTAGAGCCCAATCCGTGTCGGGTAGAGACAATTATCTGCCTCAGACAATGGATAAATGTTAGGACAAGGTCGTGGATTGATTGAAGTTAGACGTTAACACCGTTGGATGCCGGCTCAGTGTATAGGGGTTAAGTGTTCGCGCGCGAGATTGGTAGGTCCTGGGCTCGAGTCTCATGAGGCGGGATCGTGGATGAGCACTTCTGAGGAGTCCCACAATAAGACGAAACGGCCGTCCAGTGCTTCCAGGTTTTCCACGGGGGTCTAGCTTCAATTGACTCATGATCTCAACTATATAAAATTACTAAAATCTCCACAAAACACCCTTCCGATATTTAATAACATTAAAAATACAAATAATGAGTTCGAGTTGGACAGTTTAGGAAGTTCAGCTTTGCTTAATATTTACTCCGTTGCAGTAGTAGTAGTAGTAGAGTAAACTCATATAAAGATTAAGCTAAAAGTATAATATATAGGGACGAGGCAATCAGGATCGACAAACGTTTTTGGTAATTTTTGGCGCGAAATTCAAAAATGACGACTCATGTTAGAGAAGGACACGTTTTCGTGAATTTTTATCGCATGTACTTCTTTATGTTCAATATATATGCTATATCTAGGATTTTCCCATCCATTCAGTGCGTGAATGCTGTATGTAAGAGTATGAATGAAAATCCCATTTCAAGCTCTAACTTTCACCTCATTTATATTTTTATCCGGAAAATTGGGATGCGTTATGGTGGAGGATTCATATAAGACATGTAGATAGTCTAGGATGATTGAAACAAACTTTCCAGTAAAAATTTGACTCATATATGCAATACTGGCACACTAAATGCTAGACATTACATATTTATATCACAATCGATTATCCCCATACTTCATTTTATATGTAATAAAACGAACAACAGAAATACTTTGTATACTGCTCAGGAAGTTCAAAATTATAAAAAAAATTTACTTTTGTAATCATTGAGCAAAAACGATGATTTTGCAGTTATCAAGTCCTCAGTAGTTTCTATTTAGATTGTAAATATCATGCAAATCAATCACATTTCCTAGCACAAAAGTCTAACCAGAAATAATGTGTGAACTCCAAAAAGAAATCCTACTATTTATATCTTTATAAGCGTTTGAGAAGACAAATGTTACATGACAACATGGATGAATTTATACGCTATTCGTCTTTTCCGTGTACAAATATGAAAGCTTTATTAAATGCATTAGTCATGTAAAATATGTATACCCTTTATATTACCAGTTTTTTCATACAAACTAACTAATTACAACAACGTTTCCTGATTGATTAAGAATGAGAGTAAAATTCATTGTAGCTACTTAAAGAATCACTCTAGTTTATTCCTATACTACATATACTCTTATCACCATTCCCAAGTGACTGAATAATACACTATTGGATCAATGCTCAATCGCCTAGAAGTTAGCTCAAGTGATCAAAGGTCCTGGGTTCGATTTCCTGTAGTGATGTTTTGAACGTATACTTCTAAGTCCCATACTCGGACAAAGCAGTTTTCCAGTGCTTCCAAGTTTTCAACGGTTGTCTAAATTTGACCGGTTCATGATTTCACTAATAGCTAGCAATCTCATAAACCACCATACTGATGACTGGTGTTAACATGAAAAAGGGAAAGATAACCCATAAGTGGAGGTTAACACTAAACTAGTTAGTAAAACGTTTAGTAAAAATGACGAAATAAAGGGAGAGCAGAACAAAAAAGTAAATCATTAACAAAACAAGTAGTCTGACAAATTTGTTTAAGAAATAGAGTGCCTCTTATTTGTCAATAAGCAATTGTAGAATTCTAGCGAGAAGCCGTGACCAAAGGAGCTAAACCGTGTTACGCGTGAGGAAGATACTCATAAAAGACAGTGAAAGATAGTCCTATACTATCATGTATTGATCAAAGTTAGACAATAACAGTTGGATGCCGGTTCAGTACTTTAGAGGCTAAGCGTTCATGTGCGAGACTAAAGGTCCTACGTCCGATTCCCCATGCGGAGTCATGGATGGGCACTACTGGGAGGTCTCATGATAGGTCGAAACGACTGTCCAATGCCCCCAGCTTTTCAATGGTAATCTAACTTAGATCAGTTCGTGATTTCAATGAATTACCTCCTATATGATGAAAATATAAAACAATTACAACTCTAGTATTCTTATACGGAGTAGTGTCCAGATATAAGATACACCTCGAACTTTAAAGTACTGACTGGTATTTTTTAAATCAATGTTTCTGTAGATTTAAGTCCAAATTTAGGAAAATTGTCAATTTTCTAAAATAAAATATCATGCAATAGGAATAATATATTTGTCAAATCTCAGCGAATGAATTTGAAGTAAATCCAACGTTTCGCCTGGCAATCCGGTCCAAGCTTTTTCAAGGAATTATAATCAAATATCAATTACCTAGATTCGATAATTTTGATTATAATTCCTTGAAAAAGCTTGGACCGGATTGCCAGGCGAAACGTTGGATTTACTTCAAATTCATTCGCTGAGATTTGACAAATATATTATTCCTATTTAATGTCTTACATCAACTCGGCGCTCAAATACTGTGAAACTATTCGCTCTAAATTAGACTAAAGTTTTTATATAAAATATCATGCTTTAAGAAAAGTATTCCGATATATTCATCCAGTATGTTATTCCGCTTACACACTTACAAGAGATTATAAAGTCAGGAAAACAATCAAACTATTAAGGAAGTAATATGTAAAACTTTCAGTGAATAATAAACATAAAGCTGACTTCATAAAATGCGTGGTTATAATGATTATGTCCAAAATGATATTAAAAGCTCTGAAATAAAACCATCTTGCTTAAAAGACACAACATCATAAGAAAAAGTGTTCCCAAATTCACAACAGTATGCAACTATTGTTTATTGGCAATGATGATACATACCTTATGTCTGATGTAAGCAAATATAGTATTAATCTTCCGTAATGCAGAAAAATTCAATAAGGTCAAATTAAATGACTAATTTCTACAGTCACAAAATAGATCAAGTAATAAAAATAACAAGTAGAAATTATGGTCCACCCTCTGCGGAAAACAATGAAGGCGTAAAGACAATTGAAATAAATCATTTCTCCCTGTAAAAGTTCAGACAAGTTTACCAGAAGGAACGTTGCAATTATTTACATTTTAATCGTTCAGATTAATCAAATATAATTTTTACATTTAATGTCTTTTATGTGCTCGGTACTAAATTCCTGTCAAACTATTCATTCAATTTTTAACAAATGTTCGCATAAACACAACGAACATTTGTTCTAATAGCGGATACATTCACTTTGAGACGATTGAAATGTACTACATTGACTGTGCAGCAATTGTTTGAAACCGGTATAAAAATAAGTGAAATTCTTAAGTTCTAGGTTGAACTGTGAAGATAAAGTACATAATCCTTATCGATAGAAGAAACCAATTAACGAGTTACCAAGTGAAATGATATCTTATTCAGTCTACATTTTGGGATTTCTGTTTAGAAGCTTGACAACTGTTGAATAGTTTTTTGGTTGATATTATCTATTCACTTATTGTTTACAGTCGAATTAAGTTAGTGAAACTCATCATATCTTTTTTCTAAATTATTCCAAATACGATTTCCAACTGTATTTACACCAAATCCAAACTCCATAAAAAAGAAACATATTGATTCAGTTGACTTTTACCTTCAACTTTAAATTCACACAAATTGAATTTCATCTATAAATTAACTACGAAGTTATATTCCGAAATATGAAGGGACGGGAAGAAATAGAATCTAAATTGAAGTAGGAAATGTAAGTTTTTTCGCTTTTAACAATATTATATGACCAGAGCTAACAGGGCCTAAGGAAACTGGCGTCGAACTTGGGATGAGCTTTTGGACATATATACATATACTCAGTGGTTCTAGTGTTTTAGGGCTGACTGCGAGAACCTATGATTATGGGTTCGATCCTTGGCTTGTATGCCAACTGAGACTAATCTGTGATCAGCACAACCTACAAGTTAAACTAATTCCCACAAAAATATCTTTATTAAATAAAACAACTAAATTGAATAGAATTTAGTACATTTCATTTATAATTGTTGTGAACATATAATGCAAATTATATACACAAAAATTGCATTTCGGTTGAATAAAATGAAAGACTAAGAATAATAAACGAAATTCAAATACAATGATCAATTCATAGGCAATAAACATTGGCAGACTTAAAAAAGGATGCATGAAACAAGAATAAAAGCAGAAATGTTATATGGTGGATGTATTAGTTTCATGATTTATATAACAATCAGAGTAAGGAATATAAACTTAACAATGTGCACATATTGACATTAAGAATCTCATCCAAGAACCAGTTCAACGAGTAGTGAGATCACTCTTTATGAGTAAGAAACGCCACCGAGTAAAATAAATTGAATCAAATTTTAATTTATTTGATTATTAACTGGTTGAGAGAGCGAAAAAAATTGATATAAAGAATCGCATGAATAAGCTTTCTGCTTGCACTAAGTGGGTTGGAACACACTCAAAATTTACAGGCATTGCTACGAAGGTAGAGTGATACTGACTATGAACAGTTTGTTTCCAAGTAAAAAGGTATAAATAACCCCTAGTGTATATCTGGTGTAACCTGGAAATTCGTAATAAGATGTTTACAGCAATAGAATAGTGATACTTTTCAGGTTACATCAGATATACAATAGACATTAGAAAAAGAAAGAAAAGAACTAAAGTATACTGGATGCAAGGTGTTATAATAATTAGCTTTGCTGTGTTGGAATTGTTCGTCAACTTAATTCTTCATATTGTACACAAAAACAAAAACGGTTGGTAGTTTAATTATTTAAAGGTAGTCTAGAAAAGAAGCATGATGAGGATTAGAAAAAAAGAAATTACACAAAAAATGTGGATATACATAATTTACAAAAACTGAGTAACAATTATACATATACATTAGCAGTGTTACTGATATACACAACTTAGCTAAAAATGAGTAGATTTCGCGAAAATGCAGAGGCCTATAACGTAATCTATATGCGAATTGGAAGTATTGATCGGAAATTAAAATTACTATTTTCATCGCCTATGAAAGCAAAAACAGTATAAGTTGGATGGATGGATGTAACTATAAGAGTACGACAGAGTTGTGAGACATAAATTAGTATTACATGGAAATTTAATGGCGCGAAATATATGTGTAAATAACAGGATGAAATCAGAAAATGGTAGATAGAAAACACAAAGGTAGGTGAAATGATAAAAAGAGGTAGCTAATAAAACAATAAACAGATGCGTGTAGAACACACTTTGAACAGTCTGGCCATAAAAAGTGAATATTTAATATGTACATAAAGAAAAACCAAGAATTCACAAGAAAAATACTTCACCGGAAATGTACACGTAGTGAAATATTAATATGAATTCGGAATGATTATTAAGAAAAAAGGAAGATTGGATGCTAATTATCTAGATATTGAGCTTCTGTGTGCGTAGACCAGTTCTCAAAAACATCATACAAAGAACGAAATGTAGGACGATTCTCTGGTCTAGCGTCCCAGCATTTTCGCATAAGATTGTATAAGTCATCAGGACAAGGATGTTCAGGAGTATGAGGACAAGGCAATCGATAACCTTTCTCAACCTCAGCTACTGTCTGACGAGTAGTCATTCCTAGAAGAAAAAACAATGGACAGAATTGAACAAATTAAAAAAAACAGTCATGCAATAAGACTATGGAAAAAAAGTTATGGGTATTTTCCCACATCTGCATGTACAAATTACTTTGGTTACGAGAAAATACCTTTTAGTCAGAAGCAGAATGGAAAAATGCAGGAATAGTTAGACCGATAAATAGTAACAACAGAAAACATTTATCGGTCGTAAGGGTGAGAAAATATGAGTTGTGTGGATGAGATCCTGTTATGGAAGATAGTTTTGAATATTTGACGAATGATAACATCGTATACTAAAGGATTTTTTATAATGAATAATATGATGATAGCTGATAGATGAACAGAAGCCATACAATGTGATCAAGTGATAGCTGCTCATAAGACTGACTTATTGATGTAATTCAGTTTAATGTAACTGAGCAGCCCTTGTACAAATTAGTGTCGTCAAGCCTTGGGAAACCATTTGATGAAGGCTAGTTTTAATATGAGGGGCAGGATTATCTACACAATAACAATTAGTATTTGAACCATTGTGAAAGTGGAAAGTCACTAAGGAGAAGAACAATGAGTTGGTTAGTGGTTAGGGAACTTGGGTTTCAAATATCGCAATTTTGAACTCTGCATCACTACTATTCTGAGTTCGACAGTTGATTACTACTATTTAGTTAGTACTAACTATACGAATGAACAACTTATGACTGAGATAGTGAACTTGAGGTCACAGCGCATGGATCGATTAAGATTGCTGACAATTGATTTCATTAAGAAAAATAAACTATTTCCGAGTTAGATTGTTAATAAGACTCGTATGGATTAATATCTTTACTGATTGTTCAACTTCAAAACAGAAGAACCAAAAATCTATCTCAACATATTCATTGAAAACAGCACATCATTTGAATTTTATTTTGTATGATAAATTTTTCTTCCACGTCAACATTATAGTTGATTAAAAAATTGGAAAATTGATCGAAATCGTCTGCAGAATCAAGCTCAACTTATCGCTAGACCTTATGCATACATACAAAGTGTGACTTAAAGCTCATTACATAAATCTGTATTTGGCAAATAACCAACATGAAATAAAAACCACTAAAAATATGCATATTTGATCAGTCTTCGTTGGTATAAGGATGGAACGCGCGCCCTGGCTTTCACTACCAGCCACATTTTATCTAATGTACATACACTTGTATAATAATGGCTGTATCGAGACAATCTGCACAGGATGCTCATATACCAACCAAGACTGATCATCAAATCGCAGTCGAAATTATCAACAACGGGATGATCCAAACTATTTCAAATTGAATTACATCTCATACCCGTTGCACAAGTGAGTGACCATATAGATTCAGTAGCTAAGTGGATAACCCGATGGCATGTGAAGCGAACGGTACTCGGTTCGAGTTGTAGGGTGAACATAAACTTTGGGATGCAGGTACACCCAACTGGAGAGTCACAAGTAGAACGAGATGAACGTCATCAATTCCACTGCTAGCCACATGCCATGTATTCTATATCACTAGAGATGTGTTATCCAGATGAAAGACGAAAAAACACAATTGGATAAATTAATGTTAATCCATTTACAACCTGACCCCGATTAAGGAATGAGTTGAATAAAGCTATTTCAGATTATCATTATATTTGATTAATCAACACACCAGGAGGATATTGTACGTAGTTTTGAACTTTATTATGGCTATAAGACAAGAAATTTTAATTATTAGGTCATTGGAGTTAGGTGTTCAAATTTCTTATTCACCATGAATATTCGATGAATGGTTGGCTGCAATATATATATAGTAAGCAATGAGAAAAGACTTCACATAAACCAAAATATGTAATGCATAGAAACAAGCTACGAGTAATCAAAATATCGATATTTTTAGGAATTGAATGCAAAGATTTTGATGAACAACACTGGTTACCTGGATAAGGTGTTCCACCATAAGTGACTATTTCATACATCAATATACCAAACGACCATACATCAGACTTAATGCTAAAGATATGCTGTAAAGCCGCCTCTGGAGCTGTCCACTTAATAGGGAATTTAGTATCTTAAGGGGAGAGAAAGAAGAAAATCAGTCCAACAATTAGATGAACTAAAAAACCAACTTTATATAAATATTGAACTGGTAAGATAAAAAAAATGTCTTTTTTGTTGTTGTATAAAATATAAGTAGAAAAAATAATAATCAAACTTTTTGCCTTATGTATCTAATTTACATAGAATCTGGGGAATAACTGGAGGTCATAAAATGTATGAGGCACACAAAAATATTTGCGTGTGGGTTAGGACATTGTTCAGCTGCCTAAACCGAAATAGGTGGTTTTACCAAGAAGTCACTTCCAACGAGCCGTTAACCAGAACGTCTGGTCAAAAAGGCAGTGGAATAACGTTAGGCTTTGTCTCATAGTAGTCAGTGACCAAAAATAAGCCCATAACTCAAACAGAAGGTCCTGGGTTCTATCCTCTGAAGAGGGGTGGTGGTGAATGTGGATTGGTGAGGAGTCCCATAATAAAATGAAACGGCTTTCCAATGCTCTTAGGTTTTTAATAGTGGTCTAAGAGCAGTTCATGATATAAAGCCCATGAAGATCGAAAATAATTAACCGCCAGGATGAGATTGTTAGGATAACTTCAAAATTTGGGCTTAATTATCTACATCCGTGTTATTTCAAAATGGAGTAAATTGCGATGCCCCTATGAATTAGGTTTTCAGATGTAATTATTAATTAAAGGATTACTTAAAAAAACACGTTTCGAAAACGATCTTAACGGTGAAAATTCAACACCGTTTGTGCTTATGTTTCAGAAGAAATTGTAAACATTTAGGTTTCATAAATACGTTACACAATTACAAGCAAGAAAGCGGATTTTTCTTACTTGGATCAGCATGAGAATCATCGCTAATAATTTTAGCCAGTCCGAAATCTGACACTTTAACTGAATAATCTTGATCCACTAAGATATTAGCTGCACGTAAATCTCGGTGAACAGAATTCATTTCTTCCAAATACGACATACCACTAGCAATCTGTACGATTGAAATTGAAAAAGAAAAAAATTTAGTACGGATTTATTTTAATTAAAAAAATGTAGTGAACATTAATGCACAGTCAAACCAGTTGTAACGTATAACCTGGTACATGTATATGTTGGTTTGAGTTACAATACCTTATTAGCACAGAGATGAAATTGTCAGAGCGAATCCAAGAGTAGTACAGGTAGTAACAGAATTAATGGCAATAGAAAAGATTAAAAATCCATGATACAGTTCGAGAGGGAAATATAAATTATTTAAATCATAAAATAAATTTATGAGGAACTTAGGATCTAGAGGAAGACAAGGAGTGAATGCACCTGCGCCATCGCGAACGATTTTAATCCATGTCAAAGTCTGTAACGATTAGTTATGATAATTACGTGGACCCCAACCAGGTAGTCTGCACCTACCTACATGGCTCGAACCAAATAGTCTGTGGATTGATGTCATGTCTTAGTTGGTCAACCCTTAGCTCTCTTTCAACCTATGCTTACATCAGGCATATCGCGCATCAAGATAGCTGGTGGATGAGCATACGCAAAACGTGTCTTAACCATCTCAGTCAATACAGATTCATCATGCTATCAATTGATTTGGCATACTTACGTAGTCCTCTGCATCTAACCTTAAAATTGGTAGTTCGATTGTACCAAAATATAGGAGCAACGCTTCGAAGACAACTATGATCGAACACTATTGACCTACGAATACTCCCTATTTTTAGAGGCCATGTTCTATATACGCGGCTCAGTAAATAGGTATCAGCTTGTATATTCGAGCTTTTTAAGGTAGACTATTTTCAGGTAAGGTTTACACGGCAGTACGCGATGTGAAAAGCAACAGTGGATCACATTTCAATAACACATAAGGGGCTTGACGTGAACTGTTTGAAAGTAGTATATATATATATATTTCGTGCTGTTTGGCACTCGTCAGAAAGATGTGCCAGTAATCTTGGTAGAGCTGGTGAACTTTGGGGCAATCAAGTCATTCGTATCAGAAATGCAACCCGAAATTTACGATGTGAATTTGAGGAATCAACACCCAGATTGTTATTGAACACTAATCTATGAAATCTTCACCAGAAAAAGACATCTTATTTTCAACATAAGACTATCTTTCTTGTCAGTTTAATTATTGTGCCAATTAGCTTCATCATTATTTAATTTATAGGTAAAAACAGGGATGGGAAGTTAATAAATAAGAACAAACGAGATATTATAATTTAGCCTTTGAAGATGGTAAACACTTAAATGAACAGAAGCAAAAACTGGTTGTACAAATAACTTAAAATAGTAACAAGAAGGTACACACACCTGTGCCATTATATCAATTAAATCATCCAAAGTCAATTTATGCCCTTCTTCTGTGCGTAAAAAATCATATAAAGCTCCTTTACGCATTAATTCAGTAATAATATAAACTGGTTGGTCTTCCGGTTCAGTGCATACGCCCAAAAGTTGAACAATACGTGGATGATGAAAAGCATGCATGAGGCGTGCTTCTTCAATAAATCGGCTACGATCTGTAGGATCGAGTCTCATTTTAACCGCTACTTCAACTGAACCATTCCATTTAGCTAAATATACTTCTCCAAATGTACCTTGACCAAGCTTTCGAATTCTTGTTATGCTATCACGGTTAATTTCAAAATCACGAAATTGCACTGGTGGACGGTATGCACGTGGGCATGGGATAGACAATCGACAGCATAAACCATCTGGATGTACTGTAAAACAAAATATTCGTACCATATTTAGGTGAATGAGAAAAACATTTTAAGAACTGATTGGAATTAATGACTATGAAAATAATTTAGAAAGAAAAATCTCTTTCCCAAAAATGTCAATACATTACTTAGTATTTGGAACAAATTTACGAGGTACTGACATTTCATTTCAGCTTTATTTATTCCATAAAACAAATAACCCAATCAAAAAAAGACCGTTTTATCAAGTTAGTTAGTTCACTAGTATGTAGTTAATGGGACTACCATACGCAGGCTGAACTAAACTGTCACATCCTAACGCAGAATAAATGAATGGTATCTGCTAGGAATTATTTATGGACTATTATTACATATTTTTATTGGGTAATTGTTGTATATATATATATATATATATATATATATAATATTCGCATTCCTTTCATTTGACCTACTGAGTATTACGATACGACTTATGTTGAAATTATTCCCGATCTATTAGTTACAATCTCTCACAATCACAACCACTTTTGGTTTGATCTTGTATAATAGTTATCTCCTATTTTATGGCGTGATGAGAATGGATTTGCTTGTTTATAAACTGCGTATGTCTGAAATGCATGATTCATACAGTAGAAACTGAGATTGTGTTCTGAACTCGACGGGCAGGGCTAAGCGAGAAAAACCAATAAAGACTCTGAGTTGACTTTAGGCTGCTCGTGCTGGTTAACGCGTCACTGGTTCGGCACAAGGCCAAGGTCGTATAAGTCGGTGTTCTAATTGGCGATTTAGTCACGTGACAATTGACAGGGCTATAAGAACATAACATAAACATCACAATGAAAGCTTTTCACATTAATTAACTGCTCACAACGGTATAACAGTCGAAGTATTGGTCAAGCCTATAATTTCCGATGGTATTATTTACATCGACTTAATGACGATGGGAGTATATGACTGATGTCATTTAGTAAGTGTTGATGTGTTTCGGTCTGCTATGGACTAGTAAAATAAAATGACAGAATATTATATTTTATCCTAGAAGTTCAAGTTTTATTCTTACAGCTAAATTTAGCCTCCCCTTAAGTTATAATAGACGATTATATCCAGTTAAATTTTAAAATTTTCCAAATACTTTGATTTTACACTCACTTTCCTTTAATTAGATATTTGTTGATTCGTCGGCTAGTGTTATTAGATTACTGAGTTCCAATCTTATCTCATTACCGTTTTATTCTGAGAATTCACTCCATGTTCTCTGTGTTTAGTCTATTCCTACTTTCATTAATTTTTCTATTACGTCAATTATTTTGTTAACTTATCAATTTTATCTCATTGTATCAATTTGGCATTACAACCTGGGCTGATGGATATTGCTGTCAGTTCTTAGACTGATGATAACTAACCGACTGGTTATCGTCAGTCATCAGCAACATTAGTATCATATTTCAGAGGAAATTATTTAACTCAAGATGGAAGTGAACGGATTATTTGGTACAAAGGAACTTGTACACAGTGAAGCTTTTGACTTTACATAAACCACTCAGTTACTGAATAACATAGAAATAAAAAACTCCGATGTTTGTTTCCCCATATTATTCCAAATTAAATAAGCTTGAAAATAAATAAATCACTCTTTTATCACACTGAATTTTTCAAAAGATACTGATCTAAAACAATTTCCAAATTACAGCTGAGAAAACAATGATATGTAGTTAATATTATCTATCCCAAAAGCTATAGTCAAAATAAAAGCTGTATAAAAATGTGAGGACGAATAAATTTCCTGAATCATATAATCTTACTTACTTACTTCCCTACGCCTGTTAACACTCATGGAGGAAAATGGGCCGCTCACCAGGATTCGGCATCAAACTCTGTCCTGAACAATCCTTTCCAGTTGCTATTGTTCCTTTTGGTGTTTGCTTCCAATTCCTGACTCAGTGTGTTCTTTGTCCTTCCTCTTTTCCGCTTTCCTTCCACATTCCAAGTTAGGGCTTGCCTCGTGATGCAGTTTGGTGATTTTCTCAATGTGTGTCCTACCCACCTCCAACGTCTTTTTCTAATTTCCTCCTCATATGGAAGTTGACTTGTTTTGTCACATAGTAGGCTGTTGCTGATGGTATCCGGTCAACGGAGTTTCAGTATCTTGCGTAGACAATTATTTGTAAATACTTGTACCTTTTTGATTATGCTTGTGGTAGTTCCCGAAGTTTCAGCTCCGTACAGTAGAACTGTCTCAATGATCGTATTGAGGATTCTGGTTATGATATTGGTTGGCAGTTGTTTCGAGTTTCATATGTTCTTCAACTGTAGGAATGCTGTCCTTGTTTTGCCAATCCTCGCCTATACGTCTGTATCAGATCCTCCACGTCCATCGATGATGCTACCCAGATAAGTGAATGTTCCTTCATCAAGTGTGATTGAATAGGCGTTCTCCATGTTGTATTTGAGGATCTTGGTTTTCCCTTGTGTATGCTGTGGTGTACAGATGTAGAAGCTGCGGTTACACTGTTTATGTTGACTTGCATTTGTTGGTGTGTATGGGATAGAAGGGTAAGATCATCTGCAAAGTCCAAATCGTCTAATTCCATCCTACCTGTCCATTTTATTCCGTGCTTCCTGTCAGATGTCCAGTTCTTCACAATCTAGTCAACCACCAGAAGAAAGAGAAAGTGGAGAGTAGGCAGCCTTGTCTGACTCCGGTCCTCACTTGGAGTGCGTCTGTTAGCTGTCCTCCATGCACTACTTTGCACTGTAGTCCGTCGTATGAAGTCCGGATGATGTTGACGATCTTCTTAGGTACACCATAGTGTCGAAGAGGTTCCCATAATGTTCTCCTATCCTCATTGTCAAATGCTTTCTCATAATCAAGGAAGTTGATGAGTAGTGACGAGTTCCATTCAATCGATTGTTCAACAATGAACCGTAGTGTCACGATTTGTCTGTGCACGATCGATGCTTACAAAGTCCTCCATGATAGTTTCTTCTTCTTTTAGTGGATCCTGTAAGGCTTGGAACCTGTTGTTGAGAGTTATCTTGAATTCGTTGAGTTTGTCAGCATGTCGAAGGAAGGCTGTATTGAACCTTTGTAATACTGTTTCTCCAGTTGTCCATTGCTTCTTTAGCTTCAGTTTCATCTTGGCAACCACCAGGTGGTGATCTGAAGCTATGTCAGCTCCTCTCCCGCTTCTCGCATCTTCCACTGACCTTGTGAATTTTATACTGATGCAATTATTATTTATTTAAACACATATATATTGGTACAAGGAAGCACCAGATATATATGCGCCATACAAATCTCATTCGATTTGCTTGAGGGCTGTGATACTGCCCAGGTGCTAAAACTGAAGCAGTTGTTTTTCTGAGGGGGCCACACCCGGATCCTTTGACCGAAAGATCTGATCCACAAGGCAGTGGGGCATCGTGAGGAGATGCATCCCCATGGTAGCCGGTGATCAACGATTGATTCGTACGCCATTTGTTCCCTCAGGATACCGGAGCCCATGTGCATCATTGGTTTGGAATCAGGGTTTTCCAACTCCCCTAGGTAGATTCTCCATATCGACCAACGCGGTTAAAGCGCCGGACATTCGCTTTTCGTCCTCTCACTTTCGTAAACAACACCCCCGCCACGAGAAGGCAGTGAGTAGGACTTCCCTGGCAGAGGCTATATATTCCCTGGCCAAGTGAGAGCATTTCGAGAGGGAGAGCGGACTCTCCCACTCTCGGCCGTACCAGGGCATTTGGGGGCTAATAGGAATGATATCATCATATCCGGTGTTGTCCATTCCGACTTTGGCGTCAAGATCTCCCATCAGGTTGGTGTGATCCTTTCCTAAGCGTTTCAATATAATCGATTGCAGCCTCGAGTGGAACTGATCTTTATTGTCGTCGTTGCTATATTCGGTGGGTGCATAACGTTGGATAACATCCATCATAACTCTCTCCTTTTTTCTTTTGAAGGATGCTTTGATGATCCTGGGTCCATGAGATTCCCATCCGATAAGTGCATTTCGTGCTTCTTTGGATAGCATTAGTGCAACTCCCTGAGTGTGTGCAGCATTTTATTCTTCGTGACCGGAGTACAGCAGCACCTCTCTCGAATCTATCCTTTGCTGTCCAGCTTGGGTCCAATGAATTTCACTGATTTCGAGAACTGTCAAGTTTTATCTCCTGATTTCCGCTGTTATTTGACTGGCCCTCCAGGTTTCTCACTTTGTCCGAACATTCTATGTACGTATAAAAATTGTTGCTCTAGTTGTTAGAAGGGGCATCGTGCTTGGTGACTGCCGAAGGATCTCGGCTTTCACCATGAAGCTTCAAATATCTTCTGAAAGAAGATCCTTCAACTTCCAGGACAGAGTTTAAATGGTTTAAATTGTTTATTCTGATTTGTATTATTTTAGCAAGGTTGTTTTCTACGAGATGGATTTGCTGACTCCACTGTCAACCCTCCTCCTATACTCCGGCTTGAGACCAGCAGTAACCCTAGAAGATCTACAAGCGGAGTTTGAATAATATAATGCTTATAACAAATTATAGAAATAAAATTATGTGAAATATCTAACATTATACCTGTATAATAATTTACGAGGTCCTGAATATTCGGGAAGGTCGTGCGAATACTAATAAAAAAGCCACCGTTATTATCAAGTATCCGAATGCGATAGTGTTTTACAACCCACATATTTTTTTCGGAGTCATAATGTCGAACAGAGAGTGCATAATTTTGGGTTTCTAGATCAAAATAAGAAAAAACTGAAACAGATGATGTTCATACAGAAAAGGGAGGAACAATGTTAAGACTTTAACATGAATATAAATCCTTTCCATAAAGTAAGGATAATTCAGTGACTTGTTAATAGATTGCTTTTTTTAATATGTAATTGCGCAGTACGGGCGACAGTAGCAACAGTGTTTTTTTTACCTTAGCTATTTGTATTTTCAGGTGATGAAACAAGACACAGGAACCCTTTCACTTTATTCAAGTTTAAAACTACATGCGTAGACAGATATAACGTAGTACCCAAGTTACTGAGCTTCGGCAGTTAAAAGATATTCTATCAAGCAGCACAAAATAAAGAAAAGTATTACGGAGATTAAAGGTGAAAGAAAACAGTGAAAGCATAAGACAGAGTATATAATAATATGGTGTTAAAAGCCTAAGGGGAGAAAAATACATAAGATATCTATGCCACAATGACCAACTATAGGGCACACTAAATCAAATCCCAAACTACGAATCCAATTTCTATTACTTATCCTGACTGCAATTCCTAAATTACCACAAACACAACTTTAAATAATTTGTCGGATTCACCCCTGGTCAATTTTTTAGTCTACTATTACGACAGCCAGCAAATGAGTGGCTGGAAAAGTCTGGTATGTTACAGTTCATAAAGCTCCATAAATTTACCAATATACAAATATTTGAGGGGAATTTTTCCAGATAAACATATCATAAGAATTGCAAGGAGAAAGTCCTGAAGACGATCAAAGATTGAGGATGTGAAATGACGGATGTAGATAGGCCTAAGGAATATAGATTCCCTATTGAATGTAAATTATCATTTTCGTTTTATAAGACAATTTGACGGTTTTTGTTATGACTATTTGAGTTATCTATTTGAACACAAACACTGGCACGAGGGGCCACCAAATACATATGCATCACACAATGAGGCTGTGAAGAGATAGAGAATGGAGGGTCAGTATAATGAAAGAGCAACAATCAACAAAAATTAGTGTATAACAGTGAAATAATAATAATGAGAGCAGTTTAGTTACGATATATACAGCCAGAAAAGAATTCTCTCAGTTAAGGAAGTTACGTTTACCTTCATGAAGAAAGTAAAAGAAAGTTAATGCAGGATTGCCACTGGCTTTTATTCTGAGTCATGTCTGATAACGTTTCGAGCCAATGTGTTGCATCGTATTTAGGACCCTAACCTGGGAGTTGTGAAGGTCCAACAGAAGTCAGCCCTGCACAGCTTCCCTGCATACCCCGACACCAAGTCGTGCAATAACCACCTTTCCGCTTTTTCTAACCGATCCCAGAGTCGGCAAATAATGCACAATGTAAAATTCGTAAGACATGTCTAAGCCACTCTTTACACAAACGACGAATGGGGTTAGAAAAAGTAGACCCTAAATATAAACACCTTGCCTTATCCCACGGATTTCCGTCTTCGGCGATAAGGTCTCAACATATACGGAACTAACACAACAATTAATCACAAAAAGGTCGTGTGTGGCCGACCTCAAGCAGTCGTCCCTTGGACACTACGATCACACTCTCAGGTCACTAAGACCAACTCTAACCCAATTTCCTTTTCACGTACCTTTAAGAGAACCCTTCCACAGTGTGAGCAACAGGGAAGTGATAACTGTTCTCATAACTCCAATAACACTAAAGATCACTGTATTCATAATCGATTTTCCTCTTCAATTGCTATTATTCCTCTTACTTCGGCTATCAACTCTAAACTTCCTCTTCAAATGTCACCGCGGCCAACGATTCTAGTGGGCGTAATATTGTTCAAAGTTTACTGAAACCTCTCTCCAAACTAAGCATTGGAGCCTTCAACGTACGTACTTTATGTCGAATAGGCCAGCAGACCTCCTTGGCAAATGACCTAGAATCTTGTCCCATTGATGTATGCTGTGTCTCCGGAACACGCATACAGGATCCTGGTGTGGTGATTCACTTGACCTCACCTCGCCAAAATGCACAGCCGACGAAATACACCCTCCATGTATCTGGCGGCCCTATGGCTAGTTTTCGTGGACTGGCAGGTGTAGGCATAGCACTTAGTACAAGGGCAGAACAAGCACTGTTAGAATGAATCCCCGTCAAAAGTCATCTGTGTGCTGTCCGGCTAAATGGCTCCGTAAGAACTCGGAAGGATAGGGACACAAGTCGTTGCCTTTTTGTCGTTTCTGCCCACGCTCCCACTGACTGCAGCGTGGATGAAGTGAGTGATGACTTTTACAGAAAGCTCTCTGAGCTTCTTCAGAAAGCTAAGCGCTCAAACATAGTAGTCGTAGCGGGTGACTTTAATGCCCAATTCGTTAGCTTAGACCAAAAAGAAAGACATTTAGGTGGGTATTTTAGTATTCCGGCTGAGCGAACGGAGAATTTTTTTATTTTATTTAAACACATAAATATTGGTACAAGGAAGCACCAGATAAATATGCGCCTCACAAAACCCCTTGCACCAAACCAACGATGGACTCAAATAGACCATATTGCCATCAGTCATCGTTGGAGAGGCTCGATAGAAGACTGTCGCTCGTTCTGGAGTACATGTCTAGACTCTGATCACGCATTAATACGAACACGCATTTGCTCGAGCCTCACTGGAAGCAGAAAAGCCACATTGAGAAGACCCATTAGAGTTGAAATCAGCGATGAGAAAGTCAAAGGTAAATTTCAGTAACAACTGAAGTCACACTTAAGCAATTTCGAAAGCGAGGCTGACCCAGGTACTTTTATTGCTTAGTATTCTCAGACACTTCACTCGACAAGTCCCCAAATCAGGACACGGTTGAACAGGAATGTAATTATATTTTAAATAAAAAGGTTGGATGGAAGTAGGAGTCACAATAAGAAAAACGTAAGTATACTTATAACTTTTACACAATACTCTAGGGTCTTCACCAAATCTAGCACTGACTGGTTAGAAAATAGCCAATCAACCAGCCCCATCACAATCCTGCACGCGATATGCTTTAATTCAATCTGTATCCCACTAACAGAAAGATGTACGAACAGTTACGGAAACAGCAGCGACATCTATCAGTGATTTGAATCAAAGGGTCACGAAAAACCAGTGGATTTCTGCTAAGTCTATTGCACAAATAGATTCTTGTAAACTCATCCCATCAGGTTTCGATCACGATGAAGAGCGAAAACAAATGATATTTAGGTTAACCAAAAGTCTACAGAGCCATCGTGGGCAACAAAAGCAAAAGAGATGGAAAAGGCAGCGACTGTAGGTAACACCAGGCAGCTTTTCAAATCAATAAAAGAAACTGGAATTAAGAAGTCTAGCGTAAGTGAGACGATCTCGGAAAAAAGACGTCACTCTTATTTACTTTCAGTCCAGACGTTTAGAACGATGGTTGGAACACTAATGAGCACTTTAGCTGGCCTTCGGCTACTCTACGGATACCCACCATTTCCAAACTGTTGTATCCCGAAGAGAATTACGAATGGTAACTTTTGGGGGCTATTTATTGGTCAATATAATATGTATATTTCCTATTGTAATTAACCTAATCATATTCGTTTCCTCTTATCACTAACTTTATTTTGACCTTTGAACTATTATTATACGATCCTTGAGTTATCATCAGTTTATTGATTACTATTCACAGCCACATTCGGCTAAATATTGTACAAATGTCATTATCTATTTTATGGGTCGATATGGCTTGTTTAGTTGGTACATAAACTAAGTATGTTTGAAATACAATGATTCATACCACTGAGGCTGTTATCGGTGTTTTGGACTTAACTGGCTGGGCTAGGCAGATCACAGGACCGGTTAGCACTCTCGTCTGTTCGTACGGGTTTCGTGTCACTGTTCCAATCGATAATTCGCTGCTTCCTAATTGGCGGTCTCATCAAGTCATACATAAACTAGGCATCCACTCGGCCACAAGATATAACACAAACAACTTGGATGGAACATTGAAATAGAACTTCCGACTCTAATTGAGGTTCAAAAGACTATAACTAATCTGAACACATACATATTGGTACAAGGAAGCACCAAATACATATGCGCTACACAAACCTTATTTGAATTGTGAGGGCTGTGATACTACCCAGGTGCTAAAACTGAAGCAGGTGGTTTTCTTAGAGGGCCACACCCGGAGCCTTTGACCGAAAGATCTGATTCACAAGGCAGTGGAGCATCGTAAGGAGACGCAGTCTCATGGTAGCCGGTGATCAACGATTGATTCATACGCCATTTGTTCCCTCAGGATAGTGGAGTCCATGAGCACCATTGGTTTGGAATCAGGGTTTTCCAACCCCCGTAGGTGGACTTTCAGTGTCCACCGATACGGTTAAAGCGCCGGATATTTGCTTTTCGTTCTCTCAATTTCGTAAACAACACCCCCGCCACGAGAAGGCAGTCAGTGGGACTTCCCTGGCAAAAGCTATATACGCGTGATGATATGAGAACATTTCGAGAGGGAGAGCGGACTTCCCCCGCTCTTGGTCATACCAGGGCATTCGGGGGCCATAGCTAATCTGAATCGAGGAAGAGCAGTTGGTCTAGATGGTTTGGCTCCAGAAGTCTTCAAGTATGGTGGTCCAATTTTAGAGATTAGGTTGACTAATATTTTAGCTAAAATCTGACTGGTCACAATCACTGATTGTCGCAACATATAAGGGGTCAAAATTATCCTGTGATAACCATAGAGGAATTAGTTTGACTAATATAGTGTCTAAAATACTAGCCTCAATAATTATCGGGCGCATAACAAAGACTCGTGAACTACAAACACGAGAAAATCAGGTAGGCTTCAGACCTGGTCGTGGCTGCACCGGCCACACATTCACTATTCGTCAGGTTTTAGGACACAGACATGCCTGTCAGCGTCCGAAAATGATCTTTCTTGACTTAAAAACAGCATTCGACTCTGTAGACCGAGAGGTTCTGTGACATTGTCATTGAAAGGTGTACCTCAGAACTACATAAACCTTGTGAAGGCTCTTTACTTGA